AAAAATGAAAATGAAACACCCGGAAACAAATCCAAAGCATACAAATCCAGCATACAAATCCAAAACAAATAGCCTAATCATCAGAATTCATCAGATAAAATGTCATATCCAACCCCACACGCCGCTCTATGCTTGCTTCACACCTAACCAACTCATCAAATAGGATTCACAATCGGAGGAGCCGTCGTCGGCGTCGTACTCTCATCCAGACCCGTCATCGTCGTCTTCGGAGGCGTGCTCGTGTTTCTCGGCCTGTCGGCTGGCGACCGCTCCCGACCGGGCGAGCTGCTCCCTCCCGCGCTGCTCGTCTTGCCGCCCCGTTTCACCATCCGGCCCAGCACGCCGACCAGCTCGGCCGCGTCCTCGAAGCTCTCGTCGTCCATCCCTTCCTGCGCGTTGTAGACATCTGCGATCGCCTGTTTTGCCAGCCGTCGGCAGGCGTCTGCGTCGTGCAGACAGTCGTACAGGTATGCGGCGAACTCCAACTTGACGGACAGACGGAGTGGATGCGAGCCCGGAAGCAGAGCGTCTGCGAGCGCGGCGGCGTGCCTGAAACACTGCGTCGCCGTAGGCGTGTAGTCGAGGGCTGGGAGGAGGAAGGATGATGCCGGCTTGGGAGGCTGAACGGGCTGCAGCCCGGGAGGACAGTCCGGGTCGTACCTCACGGGCCCTCCCTCCACCGGGGGCGGCGTGAGAGAGATCGATCCCCGATTGTAGTCGGCCGCTTTCGCAGCATCGCCACCGCCGTTCTGACGCGCGGCATGGCTTGGAAGACTAGAGATGCCCGGCACATGGATGGGGGGCTGGTTGTGAAAGAGCACAAAGATGTGGTAGAAAGACGCCCTCAATTTGTACGCGAGCACTTTCAGCTCCACGTAATCCTGGACCATGGGCAGGATGTACTGCTCCATAATCACCAAGCCTTCGCGGGAGAGCCAGATGATGTGGTGGTAAAGCTGGAGGGACTTGGTCTCTCGGGTGGTATCCAGCCGGCGCAGCTTTCGGGCACGGACGAGCTTTTTCGACAGGATCACCGACAAGCCGAGGATCTTGTACAGCATCCCCGAGAGGAAGGGGTTGTCATGGCTGGTGCTGGCGGCGAGGTGGCCCAGATATTTCTGGTCGACGTCGGAGGAGGCCATCCACACGGCGAGCAGAGCCGATTGCTGCGAAGAGTAAGTCACTACGTCCATGATCAGTATTGTGCGACTTTAAGATCATTTCCTCAAGGTATAGAAGGGCAGTCATTCATTCCGAATTTATAGATTCACGTCGCCAGGCGAGTATGTATTGGCGCTCTATCGTGGTATACCGCCGGGCGGCAAGTAAAACACAAACAACAGGGGAAGGCGCCTACCTTGAGCGCGCGGTAACAAAGGCAACCCTGATTCTACAACAGATCGTCGCAGAGAAGACTGGTCGCGGTTGAATCGCGAGTTTTAAACTGGAATCGCGTCGGATCTGGCGCCTAGATCAAGCCAAATAGCGTGACGATTCGAAGAACAGTCGAGAACAGTGCCAGATGACGAATTAGGGTGTAGTGACAAATATCCACTCGCGATTGTGCGATGGACAATCGCTTTTTTCTTCGGTCTCACTGACGAGATCCGATAATCAGGGTTAAAAGATATTCGTAACAATGAGCAGCAGAACAATCGCTAGAGGGAAATCAGTAATGCACGAACTGTTGTACAGGACCGATTTTTAACGGTTCGCAAGGCAGAAGGTAATGTAGTGTACAATCGCGAGGCGAGAACAACAACTTCAGAACAACAGAACGGTTGTCATCCGATTCTTGTTGCCATTATTAGCTGCTAGGAGATCTCGCTTTGACGGTGCTGATTTGAAGAGGTGCGTCCAATGGCATACCTCGAGGCCTAATTCACGTTTCTCCAACCCAGCAGGACGCCAGCACGGCAATCACGAGCCATACAGAGATCTATCGGGCACGAGGGAAGAGACGAGGGGGATGTGGCTGTCCAAGCGCTGGTCTCTCCAATTCATCGTGTGCGCATCCGAGGCGAGGCGTTGGGCCTGTCCAAGTGCCAGCAAGATCAGGCACAGGCGGTTTAGTCACTATCCACAAAAAGCGCACAACCGTTAAGCCATCAATTGCTTCGCGAAGAACACTCTGTCCGGTTCCAGGATTTGGCAATTGAATTGGTCGAGCAGACGGCGTGTACAGAGTACAAAGTACAGAAAGAACTCGATCCCACAAAAAAATGGAAAATCCAGTGAAATAAACTGCGCGAGAGATTCTCCAGCTGCTACGAAAACACCGGGCTAAAGGACAAAAAGGACCACGACGATGCACGTCATACCGTCCGGAGCCAGAGAGTCTTGACTGCCAGTTTCTCCCCCGCGCCCCCAGTGGCACCGTGGCACAGCGGGCTGGGAGAAAAGAGGCTTTGCTGGGCCTGCAGGCGAGGATGCAGCCGGCAACTACGTGTCAGAGCCAGGGCTCTCCATTTTCGCTAGTCTCGCACGCCTCTGCCGCGGTGGATCGGGCGAGCTCAGGCCAGCCGGTCGCGACGCCGTCTCCATCTTGTGTACGCCGTAGATCGGAAATCGTCAGTTAAGGTTAGCGTCAGGCAGACTCGGTTCTTTGCCAGCGTGGCGGCGGAATGAACATGTCGTCTGTCCGGACAGACGACAGCTGATTCCAGCAGAACAATAGATACAAACAGGAAGCAAACAGTAACTGTTCTCTCCATATTTCGCCTGTCAATATACGGAGAAGCACGGAGAACGGCCGTGTGGCCAGGTATGGGGTCTTTACGCAGTAGGCGTGCGGTGTAGTGTAGCAGAAGCGAGGCCAGGCGCGCTGACAGGCAATGGACCATGGACTCCAAGGCCGACTATTCCAGAGAGGGCTAGAAACCGCCAGATTAGCAATGAGGGACAGGCACAGACAGCGAACATACCAGGTAGTAGTCCGGCAGCGAACCTATGAGCAGGAGCTGTCCAGACGCAAGGCTGTGCAACTGCATGCTATCCATGTCGTCTGCAACGAGCGCCTGGATCTGGAGACATGCAGGAGGGTGGGCATCAGCAGCAAGGGAATGATGATAGAGTCGTTGCGACAAGCAATTAATTATTATGGTCTTTAGATGCGAACCGTGGAAAGTGGGCGAAGGAGCTAGCCGAACGGGCCGCCCGTGACCCAAGATCTTTCTAGCATCAGGATGGAGGATGAACACCTCTTCAAAGTTCACCTCCCTCACGGTGGAATATCTCTGCAGGCGTCTGCAGCTAGGCACGCTGTCCAGGCCTGTCTCATCGGTTCCTGCATTTCTGAAACATTGGCCCAGCCATGGGCTCGCAGGCCTGCACTGGCAATTTCCGGCCCCTCCGCCGAGTGGATCTGGACGACGCTATCTTCACCGCCAGATCTTGGACGCGACGCGACGCGAGTCGAGGACAGAGACCGGACGCGCTGAGGTCCAGCATTGCACAACTGCGACCGTTTTGTACGGAGTCCGTCTGGCAAACGACAGAAAAGTCTCAGAGCTATGGCACCAGCACATGTGAACTGTCAACTGGGAACTCTATCAAGGTTCATGCTAGTTATCTTGGCCGGCATTTACAGTCTTTCACAGGGAATCATTAATTGATTTAATTCTCCGAGGAACGTATAGTGAGATCATGTGATGTAATACAGGCCTGTACGATGACTATTTACAGAGCAATTGACCGTTCTGGAACAAGTCCAAAGAACTATGCATGGGGCTGAATAATAAGCTGCAGCTCATTCTGCGATTTCAGAACAACAACAGTAAAAGAACAAATGCAAAGAGTATACACTACATACATGGGCGACATAGGCTGATGAATGCCAGCATCGACTGACTGAGCAGATGTGATATTGACCTCCACGTTGATCCTGGTAGCTAGTCTTGCCTCGTCGAACTACCACTCTGCTAATCTGGCAGTAGATAGCAGATATCTGATGGAAATATCTGAGAGATCTGTGTAATCTCAGACAGGATCTCCGCACGCGGGATTCTGTCCTGCTGCTGACGACTCCAGAGAGTTATGTAGCGCTGAATCGGATGATGCCTACAGGAGGATGCATTCGACGGCGCAGCTGACCTGTCAGTGACAGTAAAGCCAATCCCTCAGATACTCGGAGGATCGATATGTAAGACTCGTTGATGTGATCTTGAACGAGATGTCTTCATGGCTATCGTTGCCTCCATTGATTGACTGGTCGACTTTAAGAGAAACACTGAATCCGATGTTGCGCGTAAAGAATGACAATTGTGTGAATAATTGCTCAGTCGATCCCTAAACGCGTTCGTTTGGGAAAGAATGTAAGAAAAAAAAATAATAATATTTCAATAATGATGACTTCAATCTCTGGATACTTCGGACGAACGAATGTGGTGTCCTAAGCATATATTGTGTTGGACAGATATTTTGTTCCCTGATATTATCATGACCGAATGTCCTCGGGTGACGGTTGTTAGATTTTCACCACCAAGCTAAGAGGTGCCAGATCATGTTTGCTGCAGGGTAAAACCTGGACTGGCTCGGTAAGGAACATTTTGATCTTTGGTCTGCAATATCAAGGCAGCGATTTCGTCAAATTTTGTTCCATCAGACGTCGGCCTCTGTTAGGAACATGCGTCAGCGTGGTGAAGCTGGACGCAGCATACTTTTGGCAATGTCTTGACTGCGCCGCGTTCGTTCCAGGTAGATTAGGAATTCTTGCCGTCTCAATGAGTTGAAGCTGTCGTAGCGTACAAAAAGGCGGTCCACGAGGCCTGTTCTTGCTAGAAACTCTGAGATGGGATGTAAGATGGGCTGCAAACCCTTTCGAGTTCGCACTTATTGTCAACCGTGAACTGGTTCGATTGCTCAAGCTGTTTAGAATTGAAGGCCAATTTGTGCAATTTTTTGCGGCTCAAAGCCAGTCGAAGTCATTGCGCACAGGAAGTCAGTCGTGACACCAGTTCGACAGGGGACGAAGACCCAGTTTCAAGAAATCTCTTTCTCCACGGATGAGCATTATAAGGAGGAGTCTTCACAACTGGCCTGATAATTCGTTCGCTGAGAGCTCCAGGCAGGTTCAACCCGTCAAGCTGGCAGCGAGAAATGGCAAGAGGCCCACAGAGTTTCTTCATCTCTAGCGTTGTAGAGCACATTGTGTGAGATATCTCTCCGGTTATGAACTGCGAACGGAATGTTGGACTGGGCTGACAAGATTTCGAGTGCCGTTTCTCCACCATACGCGTGGGTGTCTCCAGCACCCTTTGTAAAGAGTCTCGAGTCTAACGTTTCAACACGTGTCGACTCGACGGTTGAATCAGGAGATCAATTTTGGTGGATTTTCTTGTCTCCGTTTTCGAATGGCGATTGGGGCCCAGGCGCATTTCCCTTCCTGCTCATAGAGGCTGTACGGTGTCCCTGAAAGACCTCTCTTTCCGTAATTCAATTCTCGCAGCATGATATCTAGCTCATATATCGTGGATTGTGTTGTTTGTAACCTGTCCATTCTGCTGTTCAGAACTGGGACATAATCCGGAAATTTTCGCGACTCTGAGTTAGGACTTCTGGTGAAAGGAGGCTCGATGTGTGGTAGGTCCACAAGACACCCGTAGGAGTCATGGAGTCCTTAGTACCAGTATGGTAGACGCCGCAGTAGGTGTACCACACCGGGCCATGCCATCTACAGATCGAGATGGTTCTGGGCGAGAGATGTGGACAACGGCATAACGCCGTTCCTAGTAAAAGGTCGACACGCCATCTGAGGCATGGTTGACTCTGTCGCAGTAGCGGATCGTGCGCGAAATGCCGCGTACACCAAGCTGGGACAGTGTCAGGAAAATTCGACCGGTCCCTCCAAGAAGTGTTGGATTCGCGAAGGATCTGATCTGAGAAAGCCGTCGCGAAATTGACTGCGTATCCTTCTGCTCTTTACAGAGAGGTGATGATTTCCATGCCTGTAAAAGGACAACCCACACATGAATTCAAACATAGACGGGATGGAATAGAGCTTCTCAAGGCCATGGGGTTCAGCTCACAAACATGCTCGTGTATAGTCTTGTTTGAGAAGTGCTGCCAGCTTTGCGCTTCACATTTGGTATCAATTTTCTGTAAACGCAGCGTCGTATATGTATGAGTGAACCGGTCCGTCAAATCGATTTCATCTCTCGTGCGAGATACAACAGGCGTTTGTGGTATTATGGAA